CAAAACAAAAAAATAAAACATAAAATAAATCATCTTTATAGATTCTCTTGCTGGTTATTATTTTTTCCATCTTCTCGAATAACAAAAGTGTTTAAAAGTAACTTCTTTATACTGAAGTCTGTTTAAACACAGTAATGTATGCCTAAAAAAGATGGAAGAATTTTTATATTTTGGCTTTTATAAGTAAACACGATCCTCACATTTGAATTAGCTTAAGTACAGAAATATATCTTTATCTATGTATTAGGAGAGATCTTCAGGCCAGGCACAATGGCTTCATGCCTGTAATCTTAGCACTTTGGGAGACTGAGGTGAGCGGATCACTTGCAGTCAGGAGTTTGGGGCCAGCCTGGCCAACATGGTGAAACCCTCTCTCTACTAAAAGAAATACAAAAATTAGCCAGATGTGGTGGTGGGCACCTGTAATTCCAGCTACTCGGGAGACTGAGGCAGAAGAATCGCTTGAACCTGGGAGGTGGAGGCTGCAGTGAGATCACGCCACTGTACTCCAGATTCCACGACAAGGAAGGAGACTATGTCTAAAAAAAAGAGTTCTTCAATTATTACTTTGTATCTGGCTAAGCTAAAGCCCTCAAGCCAATACTGTCCTATTTATTTACAAGATAATATTATCCTGATAAATTGTGGAAATGAAGGGACCTATTTCTTGAAATGTATTTTCGTCTACTTGAAATATGGATATAATGAAATATATTACTTCAAAAACAGTGGAAATGTTATTAAATTTAGTGAGCTTTATTCACATGTTAACATTCCAGTTTCTTTGGACCTCCTTAAATTTTGGCCTACTCCCTCTTTCTTGCTGGCTTTTCTCATCCTCTTCCAGGCCCATTACCAATTGGAGCTACACATTTGTTCAATCAGATTTAAATATTCGTAATAAAATCAGTGAAACTGCACTGTCATTTATAGTAAAATTTAAAACTTATTCTTTCACTAGCCTAATAAAGCCACTATTACATTTAGCCGTTCCATCAGTAACACTGTACCTGAACTGGCATCTGGCTGAGACATCCTGTCTTGGTTTTCAAATGGAAACAATTAACTCAATCAATTGCACATATTTTCCCCAGGACTTATACTAACCAAAATGGAATGGTGATAAATGAACAATTACTTCTGGAAATTCCTACATTTCTTTTGATAACATGCCAAAGCAAAAATTAAAAACTGTAACTTTCTAAAGGAGCATAGACACAACTCTCCTTCTATTTATTTGTTTTCCTAAATATAGACCATTATATTCCATATGAGAAAAAAGATAAATATGTTGTCCTTATAACATCTAAACATATGATTCATCTGGAAATTTCCAAAATCCATGAACAGAGATTTATATTCAATAGATAGGAATTCTGTCTTTATTGTTAAAGATTTTTTTCTAAAATTTGGTAGATGAAATGTTCTTTGATTCATTAATCTAGTTAAAAAGATTCCCCAGGGATGCTCTAATTCCCAGTCTGAGATACAATGTCTGTCTTCCTCCTCTTTAAATATTTACAGTATAAGCCTGTCTGTTGCATGCAAGTAAACTCTTTTTTTGCACATGTCTGCCTCCCATCTGACATCAAGCTTCTGGTGGTCCAGGGACCCCAGGTTACAGTTATAGCAGTAGAGGTGGAAGCTCCTTGGATAACACTGGTTTGTGTTACAGCAGCCATTCTTGCCAGTGCCATTTGTATGAATTTATTTAGATACAAAATTATTTAACAAATTCACTGAAATAGAGCCAGTTATCAATTGAGGATATTGATCGATTGGCATGCAAGTCTCTTACAGAATTTATTAATGGAGAGATTTAAAGTTTTTTAAAATTTCATAAAAACTCCTTAAATGAGTCATACAACTATTTTAATAAAAATACCAAAAGGGAATTAATATAGCACAAAACTGAAATAACAATGGTGTGTGATTTTAGAATCACAATGTTACTTTAAAAAGATTTACTCAGAGCAAATTCATTACACTGTTTGCTTAATCTATTTTAATGAAATTCTTTAATATTTGGAAACAATTCAAAATCAACATGTTCTTTTGCTAAGCATATTTCTTAAATATAAATCTGGTCATGTTTTATCTCTTACTTAAAATTCTTCAATGGCTCTCCTAATCTTCTGAATAAGGTAAAAATAAACTCTTTAGCATGGTGTTCGATGTTCTTCATTATCTGATCATTTTTACCTCCCTGGCTTTATCTCTTCCCACTTTCCTACAATGTTCCAGCAATACCGATGGTCTGACTAATGCCTATTTGGCTCATGCCTAATTCAAATGTCCATACACATTGTGGTCTAACTGTTTGGGATCAAAATCTTTGCACCAAAAGGACTGTAATCCAGTGAACTCCTAATTATTTTGCGAGGATCATCCAAGTCATCTCCTTCGAGAAACCTTTGATTCCCCCGAGTGGGCTCCCTGCTTCCAGACTTCTCTGTGCTTGCCTGCAGAACAACTCTTACCACACTGTTTATGACCATCGGTCTGTTTCTCCCACTTCAGACCGTTTTACAGGAGGGTCCATTTCTTACTAATTTTCATATTATAGCCTTCAACCTAACGTTTAATCCATAGTAAATAGCCAAAAAATGTTTTTATTAAAATAAATATAAAATTAGGCCAGACGCGGCAGCTCACATCTGTAATCCCAGCACTTTGGGAGGCTGAGGCAGGCAGATAGCTTGAGGTCAGGAGTTCAGTCTGGCCAACATGGTGTTCAGTCTGGACAAAGTTTCACCATGTGTTCAGTCTGGCCAACAAGGTTTCACCATGTTGGCCAGAGTTCAGTCTGGCCAACATGGTGAAACCTTATCTATACTGAAAATACAAAAATTAGCTAGGCACGGTGACTGGCCCCTGTGATCCCAGCTACTTGGTAGGCTGAGGCAGGAGAATCGCTTGAACCTGGGAGTTGGAGGTTGCAGTGAGCCAAGATTGTGCCAATGCATTCCAGTCTGGGTGACAGAGTGAGACTCTGTCTCAAAAAAAGACAAAAGTAAAAATAAAAAAGAAATATCAAATTAAAATGAGCTATGTGGTATTCTTAATGAGTAATTTTCTTACTTTTTTTTTTTTTTTTAAACACAGTTGTCACACACTGGGGCCTGTGGTGGGGTGGGGAGAGAGCATCACGAAGAATAGCTTAATGGATGCTGGGCTTAATACCTAGGTGATGGGTTTATCTGTGTAACAAACCACTATGACACACGTTTACCTATGTAACAAACCTGCACATCCTGCACATGTACTCAGAACTTAAAATAAAAGTTGAAGAAAAAAATATTGCTATCTGATTATCATTCTAGCTCTCTATCCTACCTTCACAAACTCGTGATAGGGAGACTCTAGGTTTCATTAATTACAAAGGAAAGTACAGGGCACTAAAATGAATTAATTGGAATGAATAAATAAAATAAATGGAACACAAGAATAAGAGGTAAATCCTTATCAAAAGTACAGTTGACTAATTTGTTCTAGGATAAAAAGTTTTCAGTTGGGACAATCAATTTTGAGTAATCATGAATTCCATGAATGATCATGGAAATCTTCTCCTATTGATGGCCCATATGTGATGTTGACAAATGTAAGATTTTGTTTTCACAGTAGATTGATCTATCTGTCCAATTGTCTACCTATTTATTTGTCATTTGTTACCAATTCTATTTTCCCTTCAGTACTGTTTTGACTTCCATATTTTTAAGTTCTGTCTAGATAATTTGCTATAAATTATTTACATATAGCAGGATATGAAAAGATAAAAGGGCTACATTTTAATCCTGACCCTAATGCACAGAAAAAAAGAAATGTATCTACCTTCAGAATGAGAGATATTGTACATAAAGTTTCTGTAAGGTAATTGATACATGCTTGCCTTTGGTCCTTTACTCCATCCATACCTCATTTTCCTGTGAACCCCATCATACTCATTGAAGATGATGAATTGTAGCCTTTGGCTCTGGTAATTACACTTTTGCAAACTCTGTCATTTCTTCACTTCCATGATTCCTCTATCTTTCTTCCTGTAAGTGTAGGCATCCCCAAAGATACAACTGGACTTTCTCTCCTGTATTTTCATTTTCCCTTGGTGTATCACTTGGTATTGTATGTTGTATTACACCTCTATCCCTGACACTCTCCTGAGTATAAGGCCCACCTTTCCTTCCCTCCTTCCTTCCTTCCTTCCTTCCTCTTTCTTTCTTTCTGTCTGTCTGTCTGTCTGTCTGTCTGTCTGTCTGTCTGTCGGTCTGTCGGTCTGTCGGTCTTACTCTGTTGCCCAGGCTGGAGAACAACAGCACTGGCTCACTACAACCTCCACCTCCACAGTTCAAGTGATTCTCCTGTCTCAGCCTCCCAAGTAGCTGGGATTACAGGTGTGCACCACCATGCCCCGCTAATTTTTTGTATTTTTAGTAGAGACGGGGTTTCACCATGTTGACCAGGCTGGTCTCGAACTTCTGACCTCAAGTGATTCACCACCTCAGCCTCCCAAAGTGCTGAGATTACAGGCGTGAGCCACTGCACCCAGCCAGATCTTTCATTTCTAATAGACTATTAGAAATCATCATTTGGTGCCTCAATCTGAATTTGTCTGAAATAGAATATCTTTCTCCCCACAGCTGTACTTCTTCACTTATTTCATAATTCTATAAATATCCCATTAAGCACCTAGTTATGTGAATTCAAAAACTACAAGTTGTCTTTGAGTGGTTTTTACCATAATTCACAATCAGTTTCCAAGGTGCAAGGATCCTTCTTTTGAAATTTCCTTCACCACTTTCTTCTCCGTTTCAGCTTCTTCTTCAAAGTCCTATTCACATATCTTGAATCTACTTCAGGTGCTATATCCAAAACCTAATTATTATAATAGGTCCGCAATTTTTGCCTCTACTTTTAGAATAGGGAATAAATTAATATGCTAATATCTAAGTAGCCAATAAAGTTGTAAGAGTCTTCACTATCCTTCCTTTTACATTTGCTTATAGTATTTATCATGACTGAATCAAGTTCCTCCGAAATTGATATGCTGAAGTCCCGAAACCTCAATACCTCAGAATGCAACCATTTTTGGAGATAATGTGTTTAAAGAGGTGGTTAAACTAAAATGATCCCATTAGGGTGGAGTTCTAAATCAATATGACTGGTGTCCTTATAAGACGAGAAAGAGACACTAACGACTCCTATACACAGAAGATAATCCTGAGAAGAAGCAACAAGAGGACCGTCTCCTGCAAACCAAGGAGAGTGAGGCCTCAGAGGCAACCAACTTTGCCAGCACCTTGATCTTCGATTTCTAGCCTCCAGATATGTGACAAAATAAATTTCTGTTGTTTAAGCTTCCCTGCCTGTGGTACAGTTGTTCCTCTAACATCTGTGGGGGATTGTATCGAAATCTGTAGATGCTCAAGTCCCTGATATAAAAGATGAGGTATTTTCATATAACCTATGTACATCCTCTGTATCCTTTAAATTATCTGTAGATTACTTATAATAGGCTGGTCCAAGTGCAGTAGCATTTGCAACTAATTGATCACAACCAGTTACAGTTTTCTTTGTTCCTTTTCCAGTTCCATTGCTGGAGAAAATTTAACTAACCTAAATTTTTTAAAATACAAATTTAAAAATAGATTATTTATGATAACTAATATAATGCAAATGCTATGTAAAGAGTTTTTTAAATTTATAAAATAACTTGATAATCTTAATCTTGTTCCTCCTAAACATATTAAAGACAGTTGATTATGTAAGCAGGAAAAAAGAAAGTACTACCAAAAGGCGAGCATAAATGTAGATGTAGAGTTTCAGAATTAGAACACTTTTTAACCCACTCCTTTATTTTTAATTATAAAATTAAATGTAGGTTACTTAGTCTGTCAGTTTATCCCTACAGCGCTCAACAAAATTCAAATGAAGCATCAAGTTTATAAAATGAAGTGAGCTGTAGAAGTATCCATTTTATTTCCTCTTCTTGACTTTCGGGATTATCCCTATGTGTATGAAAAATAAAATTAAATAACCCAATTTTCTTATTTTTCCTTTCAGCAAAAGGTAATTTAATTGATTTAATTAAATAAATTAGTAAAAGATCTCACTGCACAATACAATATTCCAGTGGGGTGTGTGTGTGTGTATATAAAATATATATTTTTTTTTTGAGACAGGGTCTCACTCTGTTTCTCAGGCCGGAGCACAGTGTTATGATCTCGGCTCATTGCACCATCTACCCCCCTGGCTCAAGTGATCCTCCCACCTCAACCTCCTGAGTAGCTAGAACTAGATACATGCCACCATATCCAGATAATTTTGTTTATTTTTTTGTAGCCATGAGATCTTACTATGTTGTCCAATGGTATATTTACTGTCAAGGATTATTAGCTGTAGATATGTTTCTATTTATAACTTTGAGTAGCCTTTCCTGGGTTACCTGTGTAGCCTTCTGCATTTCAGCCTAGGGAAATATCTAATAAGTTTATTAAAAATATATTATTAAGTTTCTATTATGTCACCATGACAGTGCTAAATGCAGACAATACAGTGGTGATTCAGATAGGCATAATCTCTAAGAGACCTGACCTTTTAGTGGAGGAGACAAACAAGTAAACAAACACCTGTGATAAAGGCTGTAAGGAAACCAAATAGCATAATGAGGTGCAAAGTGACATGTGATGCTAATTAGGGGGACAGGAAATGCTAAGAACACATTTCAGGTAATGATAAAGGAGAACATCCTAGCTGTAGGAAGAATTGGTAAAAGAGTATTCCTCATAAAATGCACAATTGTAAAGGCCTTCCGGTGGAGACAGGTTTGGCTTGTTGGAAGAAGAGAAAGAGGTGAATGTACTGAAGTATAATGTGTGAAGTTGTACATGGTACAAGCTGACTGGGGAAACTGGATGCACAATAGTAGTTTTTATTGAAATGTTAAGCCCTGGAGTATGAGAAGTTTGGAAAGATCTGCAGAGGATTGTATATTTCTAATTCGGAATTCTGACAAGATCCTCTAATAGAGATGTCTAGGAAGCAGTTGTTACATAGTTCTGAAACTCCCAGAGAATTCTGGGCTAAAAGATATTTTTAGGTCATTAATTATTATGGACTGAATGTTTGTGTCTCCCTCAAATTCATATGTTAAAATACCCTCAATGTGATGGTATATTAGGAAGTGAGACTTTTGGGAAGTAATTAGGTCATGAGGGTGCAATTCTTATGAATGGGATTGGTGCCTTTATAAAAGAGACACCAGAGATGATTTCTCTCTCAGCCATGCGTGAATACAAAGAAAAGACAAATGTCTGCTAAACAGAAAGCAGCCCCTCATCAGACATAATATCTGCTGGTGCCTGATCTTGGACTTCCCAGCCTCCAAAACTGTGAGAAAGGAATGGTTATTGTTTAACGTGCTCAGTCTATGGTAGTCTATTATAGCAGCTTGAACTGACTCAGATATTCACAAATAGAGATGGTGACAGAAGTGATAGAAGTAGATGAAATGAACAGAGAGACTATGTGGAGTGAGAAGACCAGAGGGCCTGAGAAGGAAATTTGAGGACCATCAGTTTTTAAGAAATGGGTTGAGTAATAAAAACCTATAAATGAGATGAACAATAAATAGCCAAAGGAAGCAGAGAAGAGCGAGTCACAGGAAGAGCAATTTCCGTGTAAGAGAGAACCATTTGCTACATCAAGGCATGAAGAGAGGTCAAACAAGGTAAAGATTCTAGAATGTTCAAATCATTGATGATGCTGGTTTGAGCAGGGCACGTGCAGTGAAAGACACTGGATTACAATACATTTGAGAGACGTGTAAGAAAATGAAGACAGACAGAGGGTTTGCAAGTGTTTGCTCTTGAAGGTCTGGCTGTTGAGGGTCAGGTGTGGAAGTTGAATGTGCTTCATATTTAGGCTGGGGCAGAACAAGGTTTTTATTTTAAATGTTGGAAACTTTGGTCTGTTGAATGATGGAGTCAGTGGAAAGGGTGAAGATGAAGGTAAAGAGAAGGGAGAGGAGAACTGATGTATCAGAATTCCTGAATTCATGAGAGGAGGATAAAATTCAAAGCACAGGTGGAGGAATTGATCCTGGACAGAAGAAACACAGAAGAAATGTTTTATTTTAACAGAATAGAAGGAGAAAAGAAAAATTCATAGCATAAGTAGATTTGTTGAATGAACTTGAAGTCATTTCCATTTTGATGGCTTCCATTTTCTCATCTCTTGAGACTGAGGAGGAAAAAATATGCTTGGAGGTTTGAGGAGAGTGGAGAATGCATGAAATAACCATGGAAAACAAAAGCAACATTAATAAAATTCCTGAGCATGTAAAGGGCTTCTCTATTATACATGTCATTTTAAACTACAGGTGCATCTCCACTTACATCAGGTTATGTCCCAATAAACACATCTTAAGTCCAAAAGTAGTATAAGTTAAAATGCATCTAATGCTGGGAACAGAGCAGATGGTCTCTGACTTACAGTGTTTCTACTAATGATTTTTCAACTTCATGATGGTGCAAAAGTGATACATATTCATAGAAACCTTGCTGTTCATAAGAAGCTTCTTGTGCTCTGATGGGGTTATATCCTGATAAACCTATTATTAAGTCCACCACTTTAAATTAAAGACCATCTGTATTCTACTGCATAATTAATCTGTTGACTCAATTTGGAGAAAGCAGGTAGTAGGCTTTACCCACTATTGGAATTTTGTCAAGGGAATGTAGCAGAAGGACAATGAAGTAGTTCAGGCTATCTATAAGAAAGTTTTTCCTGAAATTGTCTAACCACAATTTACATTCCCTTCCCTGCCACTTGAGCCGGGAATTCAAAGATCAAGGTGTCTGCCAATTCAGTGTCTGGTAGGAGTTCACTTTCTGGTTCACAGATAGCAGTCTTGTTGTGTCTTCATATGGTGGAAGGGGGCTAGAGAGCTCTCTGGGGTCCCTTTTATAAGAGCACTAATTCATAAGGGTCTACATTCATGACCTAATTACCACACAAAGGCTCTGCCTCCTAATACCGTCACACTGGGGGAAAGGACTTCAACATAGGAGCTTTTAGGGTAAAAAAAATTCAGTCCATTGAACCGGGTGAAACTATATTGACAATTTTTTTTTTAATTTATAATATAACAGGCCAGGTGTGGTTGCTATGGCAGTAAGCACCTAGCACTTTGGGAGGCCGAGGCCAGAGGTTCACTTGAGCTCAGGAGTTCGAGACCAGCCTGGACAACATAGTGTGACATCATCTCTATTAAAAAAAAAAGGAATGTTTAAAAAGCAACAACAAAAATTAATATGCTAAAATACTTTATAAATCTTAAGAGAAAGACAACATTTTTCATTGATTTCTCTCTTTCTTTTTTTTCCCCCACCATGAAGCATCCTGAGGGCTAATGTTGAATAGAACATGCTTTAAAATATGCTAACCTGCAGAATTTTCTCCAAATATTTTATTCTGGTCCCTTTTTTTTTTCTAACCCAACCTAATGGGTAAGAAACTTTCATTTTGGCACATTTCCCAGCCAAGCCAGCCTCAGAACTGTATTTTTACCTCTTTGCTGATGCTATTACCCTAGAACAAATGTTCTTCTACCTCTGCATCAGTACTACATATAAATTCTATTGATAATTTTTTTAATTCAGCTAGAAAGATATGCTCTCAAAAATCCCTGACAAACTTAAATAAGTACATACTTAATGATGATGACATGTCGAGAGCTTGCCTGGTGAGCCTAATTTTTCTTTCATTCTTTTTTTTTTTTTTTTCTTTTGATACAGGATCTCACTCTGTTGTCTTGGCTGGAGTGCAGTGGCGTGATTTCAGCTCATTGTAACCTCAACCTCCCGAGCTCAGGAGATCCTTCTACATCAGCCTCCCGAGTAGCTCGGATCACATGTGCACACCACCATGACTGGCTAATTTTTGTATGTTTTGTAGAGATGGGGTTTCACCATGCTGCCCAGGCTGGTCTTGAACTCCTGGACTCAAGCAATCCACTCACCTTGGTTAGGATTACAAGTGTGAGCCACTGGGTCTGGCGCAGGGAGGCTAATTTCAAAGTCTTATTTTAAAACTTTAGTACTTTGATAAATGCAGTGGTTTCCTTTGTATAGCTAATTTGTACTATTTGTATGACTGTTGCCTATCCACTTGCTTATTCTAAAAAAGTTATTAGAGAGCTGGTTCTTGTTCATCTTATCTCATACCATATATATAAAAATTATAAGTGGATTTTACTGGTACAGTTAATATAAAACATTTCCCACAAGACCAGATTTAGAATTCATAATCTGCATGTTTGGAGTTTTCAGAGGAACTGTCTTGGTATTAGAAAATCTGGAAGAATAAATTCTTTACATGATCCTCATGTAATGCTTCTGCAATATTAACTGTTTACCTAGGTCTTAAAGGAAGGAGAAAACAAAAACAAATCAAGATTGACATTATTGACAAGTTTCTAAAACACAGATTTTTGGATTGCTTATTAAACTGAGATTACATGTCTATTTTAGATTCCAAGGGAAGAGGA